CTGTGTGCGGGCAGGGGAGTAGCTCAGGGTGCAGGGAGAGGGGTAGCTAGGGGCTGTGTGAAGGCAGGGGGGTAGCGTCAGGGTGCAGGGAGGGAGTAGGCTAGGGGCTATGTGCAGGCAGGGGGGTAGCTCAGGGTGCAGGGAGAGGGGTAGCTAGGGGCTGTGTGCAGGCGGGGCATAGCTCAGGGTGCAGGGAGCTGGGCCGGCTTTAGCAAGAGCGGGGCCCAATTCCTGGGGCGTGGCTTGCCACAAGCCCCGCCCCCAGGAATCGGGCTGCGCTCCGGCCGGAGCTCCAGCCGGGGTCGTGGGGCTTGGGTCTGGCCCGGCGCCGCTCAGCCGGGGCCGGGCTGGAGCTGAGCCGGGGGGCCAGGCCCGAGCCAAACCCGAGCCGGACCGGCCCCGAGCCGAGCCGAGGGGCCGGGCCCGAGCTGAGCCGCGGGGGCTGGGCCAGGCCAAGCCGGGCCCGAGCTGAGTTGCGGGGGCCGGGACGGAGCCGAGCCGAGCGGGCCGGGACGGCGTGCTCGGCCAGAACCGGGGCTGGCGCCCCGGGGCCGGAGCTGCTGGGGCCGAAGGTGCTCGGCCGGGGCCGGACTGGGCCGCGCCGCGCCTCCCCGGAGCGCTTCTCACGTCCCCCTCCCACATCCCTGACTCAGCTTACCAGGTGTTGCCTGCCTGCCCCTGCTTCTTTTCAGACTTCCCGCGAACCTCTGATTTGCGGGAAGCAGGGGCGGGGGAGGAGCAGGGGGCGGAGCGTGCAGGGAGGAGGGGGAAGTGAGTTGGGGGCGGGGTGGAGAGCTGTGGCGCGGGGCCCTCTTAGCGTGGGGCCCAATTCAACCGAATCGGCTGAATCGGCCTTAAGCCGGCCCTGGCAGTGAGAGGGGTAGCTAGGGACTATGTGCAGGCAGGGGGTAGCTCAGGGTGCAGTGAGAGGGGTAGCTAGGGGCTGTGTGCAGGCAGGGGGTAGCTCAGGGTGCAGGGAGAGAGGTAGCTAGGGGCTGTGTGCAGGCAGGGGGGTAGCTCAGGGTGCAGGGAGAGGGGTAGCTAGGGCTGTGTGCAGGCAGGGGGTATCTCAGGGTGCAGGGAGAGAGGTAGCTAGGGGCTGTGTGCAGGCAGGGGGTAGCTCAAGGTGCAGGGAGAGGTGTATCTAGGGACTGTGTGAAGGCAGGGGGTAGCTCAGAGTGCAGGGAGGGAGTAGCTAGGGGTTGTGTATGGGTGGGGGCACTCCCAGTGTTTCCAGCTTCAGCCCCACGCTGCTCCTGGCTTGGGGAGGGAGGTTTGCCAGCTTCAGCCCCACGGGGCTCCCGGCTTCGAGGGTTTGGGGTGGGGCGCTGGCTTCAGCCCCGTGCCTCTCCCAGCTTCAGCACTGGGGCTCGGGGCACTGGGTTTCAGCCACAGGGCTCTGCAGCCCCCCGAAAGGGCTCGTGGACCCCCATTGGGCCGTGGATTCCCAGTTGAGAACCGCTGTTCTAGTTCGCTAAGACATTTCTTCTCGTGCAAATTGCTACCATTATAGCTTTAGCTCCAATTCTAGGAAGTTGACAGTGCCCAGAAGGGCTCTTACTCCTAGAAACAGTAATGACATTTCCTTGATAAGGTACTTCAGCAGCTGCAAACCTTAAAAAAGTGGATCCTTTTTTAAAGGCTAATCCGGTGTACCCTCAACTTCCACTGCAGTAAATAGGAGCTGAAGGCACTCAGTACCTTTCAGGACTGGACCTTTAGCAGCTGAATATGTGACTGAGAGTATCTCTGTAGCAATGTCACTGTATTTACAAATCTTACTGTAATTTTAATAGAATTATGGATCTAGCTAATAGTTATGTTGTGCTAAATATTGTCTGTATTTTTTCCCTTTCTTAGATTAAGTGTTGAGGATTTTTAAAAATCATTTAGTTTTTGTGTATCATCTGTACCAGAATGATACAATCAGCTATTTTTGTTAAGTTGCCCCAGGGTTAGTGTGACCAGATGTCCCAATTTTATAGGGACAGTCACAATTTTTGGGTCTTTTTCTTATATAGGCTCCTATTACCTCCCACCCCGTCCCGATTTTTCACACTTGCCGTCTGGTCACCTAACAGGGGCCTTCATGATTGGCTGTCTAAAATGGTGTTATAATGGGTACCTAAAAATGTGTTACCTTCATTTACTGAACTAAAATGATGCACCTGCCATACCCTCTCCTTTTTCCCATTCACTTGTTAGCTTATTGAAAGAGCCTTTAATAAGCATTACTTTTAAATGTTCTCCTCCTCTACCTCCATTCTGGGTCTCCTACAGTCTGGCTCCTGCCTGCTGCACACCCTAACCTGCTCTCACCAAGGTTTCTGACACCCTCCTCTTAGCCAAATCTCAATGCCTTTTCTTCAGCCTCATTCTCCTGGATGTCTCTGCTGCTTTTAACACTGTCAATCACTTCCTCTCCCTCATGGCATTGTCCTCTCCAGGTTCTCCTTCTACCCCTCTATCCATTCCTTCAAAATCTCCTTGGAGGGT